GCAGGCGGATTTGAGACTGCAGGCGAATTTCGAGCTGCAGGCGAGCAGGCAGACTTGGGTCTGCAGGCGGATTTGGGACTGCAGGCGAATTTGAGCTGCAGGCGAGCTCCTGAGCATGGATTGAAGAATAGGCCGTAACTTTCAAACCGTAAGTCGGAATTGGACGAATTATATATGAAAATCGCCTATCTCGACGAGATGGAGCCATCCGAACAAAGCCGAAGGCTTCGGTTCGCTTCCTCCGTTTTGCCAAATTCCTTACGGTTTGGGAGATATCTGCGTTTTCCCCTTTTTCGCTATTTCGGGTGAGGTTTTAGCAGTTTTGTTCTGAACTTCTCTGATAAGGATTTAAAGGCAAGAAGTTCCGGCTTCCAAACCGGATGTGTTAGTGGATTTCTCCTCGAGAGTGGGGAGCGGGGACGTAGGTCAGCGGGCCGAACCTCGTTAACACATCGCGCGTCAAGGATAACGATTCCTAACTCTATCTCTTTCTATTTGATTGCACTTCTGTTTTGTGGTTTGCTTGTGCTGAGTTTTAAATTGCATATTAGAGCCTCTTGACCCTAATCACCCCCCCCCTCTAGGGTCCTACATGAAGGGCCAGAAAAGTTAGGGAGTTCACCGATATAGTAAAGTTTTAGTCATGCATAATCTAATTCTTTAAGGTGCCGTTTGGTAAAGGGTTAGGAGAGAAGGGTTAGGAGAGGGTTTAACTTAGTTAACCCTTTACGAGGGATTAAAAATAAATTAATTTCGTTTGGATTAGATACTTAGCATGAAGTGTTATTTTTTTAATGTTTGGCAAATAAATAAGAGTTTGATCGGTTAATCCCTCTCATTTTTTTTTCTAAAATACCAGCTTGAACCTTATTGATAGCTAAAAAAATCACGAACAATTATTCTATTAAGATTAAGTTAACTAGAATTTGCATTCATCTAAAATATAAAACTATTCTCATTTCTGAATTATTTAAATAAATTATGTAAAAAGGCTAGTTAAAAATCAATTTAAATTAAAAAACTAATCTAAATTGAAAGGCAAAGTGCACTAGATATTATAGCACAATAAAAGACTATATTTATAAATATAATTGTCTTTGAAAGGGCTAATCAGGCCAAACTTCACCTAGCATTTACTTCGTTTGTAACACACCAATCACCATAAAGTCATGCACCAAATACTAGCTACATATACATGCATAGCTTACTAGGATCCCACCCAACCACAACTCCACAAGTCAAACTTTGCAACTAAATTGATTTCTTTTTTATATTTTGTTGAAACTGGTTACCCCTTCGCGTGAGGAGGCGGAGTAACTTTTAGACTTGTCCATTCGCACCGGCCCGAGAAACCGGGCTCGGGCTCGGGCTCGGGCCGGGCAAAACCGAAGCCCGGACCCGGGCCCGGGCCGGGCTCCAGGCCGACCCGATTATTTTATTTTTAATTTTTTTAAATTTAAAAAACAATAAAGCATAAAATATACATAAAAATTATAAAAAATAACATAAATTTTTTTAAATTAATTGAAATGACATAAATTACAAGTACAAAAAATTATAAAAATAAAAGATGATAAAAATAAAATTTTATTAATAATCATGTCATTCATATATTATACATAAACAAATTGTATTATGCATAAACATATATATATATATATATATATATATATTTATATAAGAGTATAAATATATATACACATATATACACATATATTATACATATATAAGATATTTATATAATAGTATAAAAAAAGAGAAATTATATATTTTATATCTATTGTATTTATATATAAACATTAACACTTATATGCTACATATATAATTATATTTATATAAGAGTATAAACTTATATATATATATACTACTTATATTTTATACATATATAGAGCAGAGTATATATATTATAATATATATATATATATATATATATATAATAATATATATAATATATAATATAATATAATTATATATATATATATAATATATATATATATATATATAATATATATAATTATAATATATATATATATATATATTTATAGGGTACACACTGCTATACTGTATATTATACATATATATACTTATAATACTAAGAGAGTATATTTATATATACTTATATAAGAGATGAGTATATTTATATTATACTTAATACTAAGAGAGCAGAGCGTCATTAAATATATATATATATAGCAGAGAGTATACATGTAACATATATAAGAGAGAGCATACCTTATACATAATATATAATTATATAGACGATATATACATTATATAGCGAGAATATACTTATATTTATATATACTTATATACTAAGTAGGCCCAAGTATTCATGTCATTCAATATATGTATATGTATATATAATATATAACACTACTAACAACACATAACATATATTATACATAAACAAATTGTAAATACTTTTAGCTAATATATAAAAAAATGTAATTACACAACACACACACACACACACACACCACACACACACACACATATATATTATATATTATATATATATATATATATATATATATATATATATATATATATATTATATATATAACTATATATATACACGTATAAGTATATTTAGATTAAGAGTATATATATATAATATATATATATTATATATATAATAATAAAAAAAAAAAATATATATATATATATTAATATATATATATATTATACATTATTATATTATACGATATATAAGAGAGGAGTATACTTATATATACTGCTATACATATCATTATACATATATAAGAGAGAGTATACTTATATATACTATATATATAATTAGATACTAGAGAGAGTATAAATAAATAAATAAATATAATAAATAAATATATATATTATATAAAAATAATATTATATATATACTATTATATATATATAATATATATATATAATAATATATATATAATATATATATATATATATTATATACTCTCTATCTAAAATTATACTTATATATATATATATTATATATATATATATATTATATATATATATATATTTATATATATTATATATATATATTTATATATATATATATATAATAAAATAAAAAATAAAAAAAAATACTGTCCGGGCCCGGACGGGCGCCGACGGCACCGGGCCCGAGTCTGGCCCGGGTTTCCGGGCAATTCAGTAGGCGGGCCGGGTTCCGGCCAGGGGCTCGGACGTGCGTCCGGGGCCGACGGGCGTTTTGGGCACCCCTAGTAACTTTACTCTGCCTTCTCATGCAGAGTTGTTAACCCGTCCAATAACGGGTTAACTTTGAATAATCCCTCACGTGAGGTGAGGGCTAATAAATCCTTGGGAAACTTTTGTTGTTTGGGGGATTAGTGAGGGGTTAAACCTTCTTAACCCCTCTACTAATTTGTTGATCATGAATACGTTTTGATTAAATAAATGTTAATAATGCGATTTGAAGTGTCTTTTTTCATATTTAACGTGAATACAATCGTAATGCAGAACTATTAGCTAGAGAGTCTCTTCGTTTAGGTTTAGGTCTCAAAAGGCTATGCATATATACCTTGTATTTGTAACCTTTAATTTTATTTGGCTTCAGGCTTCGGGGCCCTAATCTACAAAAATTAATGCTAATAATCCTACCGAGCTAGTATTCTTTATCAATCATTCACTACCCATCTAAGCTCTTATATATAACTCATTATTAAAGCACAAAATATTCTCATCGCCCCTCATTAATTACCTACGTTCTCTGGCTCTCCATAGACACAAGCCAGCAGCTAATAAGTCCGGCGGATCTCTTTTGCACAGGTGAGAGTTTTGTGTATTGTCAGTGATCAAATCAAGACCTCAAAAAATCATGGGAAAAAAGAAATCCTACGGAGGGCTCTTTATAAATTTTTTAGGGCTATTTGCATATATATCCCCTACATCATTCTTACTTACAAAAGACCCTCAAATCTTAGTATTTTGCAAAATAACCCTCCAAACGATCAGCTTTATGAAAATTTCCCCTCGAATCAACAAATCATCAACTTAGTGCTAAAATTTTGACTATTCTATTGATAATTTTTACATTGTAATTACAGACTAGTTTATCAAAGTTGATGGTTAATTGCTTTATTTTTTTTAAATTGATGATTTGAAGGGTAATTTCATAAATACTTACAAATAAGTTATTTTTGTAAATACCCATAATCTAAGAGGTTTATATGAAAATAACCGAAAAACTATATGGAGAAAAAAAAGGAAGGGTCACTGTGGGTTTTTAGTGTGCTGATAGCATCTTCTGATCATAATGATTATTTTTAGTAATATTTACTGGTATTACATATTAATCTTCTGTCTAGGACGCTCTATATTTTTTTCACTCAAAATCATGAAGACCTCGTGGGATAATTTTGATGTAACATCCATCATGTTTCATGTGAAGAAAATCTTGCATATTATCCTTTTTTGTGAAGTTTTGTGAAGATCAATCTTTCTTCTTTTACGAGTATCCTTTGTTTGTACAGGATTTGATAATGTATTGCCTTAGGTATAAGATGATAAGTATGCTGTTTTCTAGTGAAATTTTGTTCCGTCGAATATATAAGATGATAAAAATGGATTATTAAAAATGAGGCATGTATAAGCTAGTTAACAATAGAGACACTAACCAGAGAGAATAAAGTCCCATGAAGCGTATTTTTAGCATTTTACTACAATTGCTATATATTTTAAAATTAATCATGAACATATCTTTGTGCAGGGGAGATTGAGTCTATCATTATGAGATTCTGGTGGGGATCGACTTCTGGTGAGAGAAAGATTCACTGGGTTAGGTGGCAGAAGGTGTGTCGACCAAAGTTAAAGGGTGGTCTGGGCTTTAGAGATATGCAGATGTTTAATCAGGCACTGGTGGCTAAGCAGACATGGAGGATCATTCACGACCCTTCTTCTTTGGCTAGTAGGGTTTTGAAGGGAAAGTATTTCAGGGACTCAGACTTCCTTTCAGCCGGTGCCGGCCCTGGCTGTTCTTATTTATGGCGGAGCATTATCTGAGGGCGAGAGCTCCTGGCCCGAGGTCTAAGATGGAGGATAGGTGATGATCAGAGTGTCTCTATCAATGCTGATCCATGGATCCCAAGGCCCTTTTCTTTTAGGCCAATCACTTCTCCAATCGACCCTTTCAGGAGGGTGGCTGAGCCGATCTCTGCTTCAGGTATTTGGAATCATGATTTGATTGCTAACTCCTTTTGGCAGGTGGATCAGGAGGACATTTCACTTATCCCACTGTCCCCTTCTCCTATCCCTCACAGACTCATTTGACATTATGAGGAGAAGGGGTGCTACACAGTCAAGAGTGGATACCAATTTCTTCGCCACACTATGTCTGATGCTGCTTACACCTTGGATTCTAGGGTGGTGAAGTGGTGGTCCTTGATCTGGCAGGCGGAGATCTCACCGAAGATGAGAGTGTTCCTTTGGCGCCTGTTCTATGATGCTCTCCCCACCTCAGCTGGTTTATCTCGCAGGGGGATCTCTGTGTCCCCTAGTCTGCTCCTTTGCTTGTTTAGTGTGGGAGGCCTTAGATCTTTGGGATGTGATTGAAGACTTTCGAGATACGTCTTGTGATGATTTTCTTTTCCTGAGAACTCTCTGGCTTTGGCTTTCACGATCCTGTGGTT